TGACCCCCAACACCTGCTCGAGCCCCAACTCCCTGTTTGACACCAACACCCTGCTCGACCCCAACTCCCTGTTTGACACCAACTCCCTGCTCGACCCCAACTCCCTGTTTGACACCAACACCCTGCTCGACCCCAACTCCCTGTTTGACACCAACACCCTGCTCGACCACACCTCCCTGTTTGACACCAACTCCCTGCTCGACCCCAACTCCCTCTTTGACACCAACTCCCTGTTTGACACCAACACCCTGCTCGACCCCAACTCCCTGTTTGACACCAACTCCCTGCTCGACCACAGCTCCCTGTTTGACACCAACTCCCTGCTCGACCCCAACTCCCTGTTTGACACCAACACCCTGCTCGACCCCAACTCCCTGTTTGACACCAACTCCCTGCTCGACCACAGCACCCTGCTCAACCCCAAAAACTCGAACTCTTGATTTTTCTAGTGATCATGTCGATATCAGTAATGAAGTGGTCACCCATGCCACTGATCCTGTATGGATCTCTAGCTACCTAGATAGCTGCATCATATTCCTCCTTAAACTGAACTCACTATAAAGTGAATTAATTCTTTTGATACTTAATTAATATTTGATTTAACATTTTAAAAAAAAAAGTATTTTAAAAGTTCACATGTTCAAATAATTTGATTCACTGATAACTATTATCTTGTCAAATTCAATAAAATTATCAAACCTTATTAAAATATAACAGTATCTATATTTTAGAATGAAGTTAAACGTTGAATACGCAGTTTGAGTAGAATGCTAGCTCTAGTCTGCTAAACAATGGCTGCCGGATTGCGTGAACCTCCTTTCAACTAGGTTTTTTTAAAAAAAAAACATTATTTCCTTTTTGGGTTCCCCAATTCGCGTTTCCCCCCCCCCCCCCCAAAACAACAACACAACAGCCTGCGAACTGTTTTAATCCACTAATGTCCCACTCTCTTTCATACCGCAGATTTACGACCCCGAACGCATTTTCGGTATTTTAAGAATGTCATTTAGCGCATATATTGTGACTTTTATTAAGTGAATTCAGCGCCATCTGTTAGCGGTAAGGACATTTTACAAAGAGAATTATGTAAATTAATTCTTGTTGGATGCAAACCTGTAGCAAAAATGTAATAGCGCATGTTTAAATGCAGTGCGAGATGTACGAAACGTGACGTATAAACACATACAAAAAAAATACGCTACCGAAAAAAAGAAAAACAATTGCTCTGCATGTCATACGGCTCGCTATTCTTCAGATCTCGTAAGTGAATGAGTTATTGAACGGGTGTGTGTGTGTGTGGGTAGGTGATTGGGTGAGTGAGGGAGTGAGTGAGTGGGTGGGTGGGGAGTGAGTGAGTCAGTGAGTGGTATATGGCTTATATATTTATATATATATATATATATATATATATATATATATATATATATATATATATATATATATTTCTATTTTGTTGTGTTATTAATTTAAATAGCGCGATAAACTGTTGGTAACCATAAATATATATATATATATATATTTCCATTTTGTTGTGTTATTAATTTAAATAGCGCGATAAACTGTTGGTAACCATCATTGTTGGCTCGCCATTATTTTGTTGAATGGATGCTATCATTCCGGCAACTGTTTCTATCACAGGTGTTCCAAACTGACACAAAAGACAAACAAAACCAATAGGGATTGTTGGCTTCCCGTTTTCAAAATGCCAGGTCATCCTACTTACTTACTTATGCCTTTCTACCCCGTCTGGGGCATCGGCCGTCTACACGAATGTTCCACTCATCACGGTCCTGTGCTTTCCATTCCAATTGCTTCCAGGTGTATCCCAAATTTTGCGTGGCTGCCTCTAGCTCGCGTCTCCATGTATTCTTTGGACTTCCTCGCTTTCTTTCTCCCTGTGGGTTCCATGTTGGGCATTTTCTGTTGATGCTATCTGGGGGTTTTCGGAGCGTATGCCCTCTCCACCTCCACATTTTCTTTATGATATCTTCATCAATTCATCAATGTCACTGTCATAAGGGTAATCACTGTCATAAAAAAAAGTTGCCTATTGTACGAATGTATGCTTCCAAGTCTTATGGTACGAATGTATGCTTCCAAGTCATATGGTACCAATGTATGCTTCCAAGTCTTATGGTTCGAATGTATGCTTCTTCTTCTCATGGTACGAATGTATGCGTTCAAGTCTTATGGCTCGATTGTAGGTTTCTTAGTGTAATAATACGTATGCATGCTTCTTTGTCTTATGGTACGAATGTATGCTTCAAAGTTGTATGGTACAAATGTATACTTCTTAGTCTTAGCGTCAGTTCACACGATCAAATTATCAATCATGCATTTGTTGCATTTTTAAAAAGCCTTGTCACCACTTGCAAATTACTATTTCATTAAATTCGCATTGTTGTCAACAAAAAAATAAATAAATAAATAAACCACGAACAAAATAGTGCGTTGCTACACAAATTTGACGCAAAATCTGAAAGGAATTTGATCGTGTGAACTGACGCTTATGGTACGATTGTATACTTCTTAGTCTTATGGTACGAATGAATACTTCTTATAGTCTTATGGTGCGAATGTATACTTCTTATAGTCTTATGGTGCGAATGTACACGTCTTAGTCTAATGATACGAATGTATGTTTCTTTATCTCATGATACGAACGAATACGTCTATAAGATTATCATCCCCTATTCCAGCCATCTCATTATCTACGCATATGCTCATGCAGGCCCTCGTTAAAGGCATCCTAGCATCTCCTACTATGCTCTTGTCTTCCCGTGACACGCCTGGCTGAGCCAGCAGTTTATTTAAAATAGGTTACAGTTACCGAGTCCATCGGGACACACGCTTGGGTCAATTTTGATACTGGATTATTTACTGCTTTACTTGGATAAGTGGGGCACTGTTGATACTGGATTAGTTACTGCTTTACTTGGATAAGTGGGGCACCGTTGATACTGGATTAGTTACTGCTTTACTTGGATAAGTGGGGCACTGTTGATACTGGATTATTTACTGCTTTACTTGGATAAGTGGGGCACTGTTGATACTGGATTAGTTAATGCTTTACTTGGATAAGTGGGGCACTGTTGGTACTGGATTATTTACTGCTTTACTTGGATAAGTGAGGCACTGTTGATACTGGATTATTTACTGCTTTACTTGGATAAGTGGGGCACTGTTGATACTGGATTAGTTAATGCTTTTATTGGATAAGAGTTTGCTTGAAACGTCTTCGCCAACAAAAGGACACCACAGTCTGGATTTCTCATCTCCTTATCTTTTAGGTGGTCAAGCCAAAACATGGGGGGGGGGGGGGGCTGTTGAAACCCCAAATCCTTGCTAAGGCATCTACTCACGTTACTTGACAAAACATGTATTCAAGAAACCCACTTGAATCTCAAGTTAGCGCTGGCTCCTGGCAATTTTATTTTGGGCACCAAATGAACAAAGCTTTACTTTGTACATGCATAACCTCGAGAACTATTATTTGTGATGCAACTTATACTTTCAGATGGACACTTTTCATTTGTGCTAAAAAGATCATTGCAGTAGATCTTTTAGGTAAGATGATATGTTTTACTGGTTTTTTTTTTTAAAAGTCGACAAAAGTACCTTTTCACTAAATCTTATTTGAAATATATTTTTCGATATTAAAGTTAGTGTTTCAGTAATTTTAGATGTCATTTACCAATGAAAAATACTTTTTAAAGATATAAAATTATAATATATTATCTTGCTAATAAGGGTTAGTACAAAATAAAATGAGTAAAACAGAGTATGGTTAAACCTGAAAAATTAAACGTAACAAAACAGCGAACGTGTCGGCAGAAAGCCTTCGTCAGCGAACAAAACAACAGAAAAACAACACTGCTAATAAGGGGCAGTGGTTAACTATGCTAATGTAAGCTCATAGTGTTGACATATTACCTTGACCCATATCATTTCCATTTCAATGCTAGAGACTTTGTCATGAGATCCATCAATCACTGACATACAATAACAGTGATTTAACATCTATGCCGCATTGTATGAAAGTCGTATATGACAAACAATATCGTGATATTAACGACACAAACTTTACTGAGACACTTTATTACTACGGGACACACTAGAAGCGCAGCAGTTGCATGTGTAATATTTTATTGCAAGTTTATAATGAAAGTTTTCATTTAGTTCAGCATAAATATTCAGTTATTTGCTCATGACATTATAATATCAATTTCATATAAAATAATAGGTCATGATTTTAAACATTAATTAGGTCAGGTATCAAACATATGTAGGTCAGGACTTCAAACATGAGTAGGTCATGTATCTTCAAACATTAATTAGGCTAGGTATCAAACATCATGTAGGTCAGGACTTCAAGCATTCAGAAGGTCAGATATCAAACATTAAGTAGGTCAGGTATCAAACATTATGCAGTTCAGGACTTCAAATATTAAGTAGGTAACGACTTCTAACATTAAGTAGGCCAGCTCTTAAACGATGTACCTGAGCCGTAGCAGCACTTGCCGTACTAAGCATGGCGTGACATATTCATAAGTTGACATGATATCTCTGAGTCACTTTATGGAATGAAAATTGGGTAGAAGAAACATCGAGTTAAACGAAAAAAACAAACAAATTGAAAATGTGATATTGGCAACCTTGCAATAGTGTAGATCATTTTCAAAACAAAAGTTTCAATACTGAATATAATAATAAAATAGCTATATCCCGCCACACAATGGCGGAGACAATGCGTCAACTTCCAAACTTCTACTAAAATTACTTGACAAACATGCATTTATTCAACGCATTATATAAGAATCCCAATTAGTGCTTCCTCTCACCCCCCCGCCCCCCACTTCGAGGTACGCCCTCGCACACTTTTTCGTCACGCCACAAACTTCTACTAAAATTACTTGACAAACATGCATTTATTCAACGCATTATATAAGAATCCCAATTAGTGCTTCCTCTCACCCCCCCCCCCCCACTTCGAGGTACGCCCTCGCACACTTTTTCGTCACGCCCTTGAACTATATAAATACTCGAATGTCCAAACTACTTTTACGCCAACGAGTTATTAAATCATAATTCAAATGAGAATATTTCCGTAACACAAAAGAATATATATTACGCTCCGAACTCACTGGCGGTATTTTTCAGAATCTCATTTATCGCAGTTATCGGGAATTTTTTGCTTTTTTTTTTGTTGTTGTTTTTTTTTTTGCACTCTATCGAACTGAACTCCATAATTGCTTTCATACCTAAAGAATTAGATTAATTGATGAACATTGGCACAGCGATCAATGCAGAGAAATAACCAGTAACATAGCACAAATAGCTGATATTTAGCTCAATACAGGGAGCTTGAACACTGGCAGAATCGCTTGCAGCTGCAGCCATTTAAAACTCGTCTATATCAGCTTTGTCCAAAGTCAACGTTGGTTTCCTTTCTAGCGTTCCATCCAATCAGATACATAGAGTATACCATTTATAACCTTAAAAATCCCATTTAATAAATGGGAATTTCCCATTAATCTCCCTCACATTAATCCATGTATTACCTTAACAATATACTATTTCTTACCTCACAAAATGTACAATTTATTTATCTCACAATATGCCATTTAAAACCCTCATAAATTACCAGTTATCACCCTATAAGGATACCATTGATCAAACTCACAGTCCCATTTGTTACCCTCACACTATAACCATTTATCACCCTCAGGATATCCCATTTATCATCCTCACAATATAACCATTTATCACCCTCACAATATCCCATTTATCACCCTCACAATATCCCATTTATCACCCACACAATATAACCATTTATCACCCTCACAAAATCCCATTTATCACCCTCACAATATCCCATTTATCACCCTCACAATATCCCATTTATCACCCTCACAATATCCCATTTATCACCCACACAATATAACCATTTATCACCCTCACAATATCCCATTTATCACCCTCACAATATCCCATTTATCACCCTCACCCGCGCCCCATCCATGCACTCCTCCTCAGAATACTTTTGTTTGCACAACCTCAGCACCTTCCTCCACGCCGCCACTTGCCCCATCCTGTGCAGGCAGAACGCCATTGATGCGTAGACAGACGCATGCACACGCTCTCGGCTCAATGCCGCCTGGAACCTTTGGACCGCGGCGTTGTAACTCCCGTGTAGTTTGAGAACCTCTCCTTCATACTCCACCAAGGTCGTATTTGTACCCCCGTAAGGTATCTGCGAACTTAATTTTGACATTTTCTCTTCTTCAGCTGGGTCGTAGTTTCTTTTCCAAACTGAAAACGTTTTGGTGGAGAGTACTTTAGTGAACAGAGGTTGGAAAAATCCCTTGTCCGATTGTATGATTGCATAGTTGAAGTGTTTGGATTCGATTATACGTTTGAGTATGAATTGATGATTACTTTCGTCTATGAGGTCGGACACGCTGGACATGGCGTAGTATTCGGAAGTGCAGTTAGTGCCCACCCAGCAGTATCGCGAGCTCGATATCAGCGACCTCCGATCGAATTCGATGAACTTTCGGTCGTGTAGGAATAACACGGGGACATTCTTGTGAAGTAAGGTGAAGCTTCCGTGGTCTAGGAGGCTGTTCTCCATATACAGGCCCCTGACGTCATTCTGCGAGGAGACATAGTACAGACACTGGTTGATGTGGAGTCCATCGTCAGGGGACGAATGCGATCCTGTGATTGGATGGCTCTTTTCAAATTCGTGCAAACTCGCCCACTGATTGGCTAAGAGAAACGATCCGAAAGCCAATAAAAGAAAACGTTTTTTATGACGCGAACACGAGACGGTACGAATGACAGCCGTGATAATTATGGCTAGGACTCCTAAATACAACACAATCACGTCGTGTAAAAATCGGCTTTCCTTGTGTCCGACTGTCGAATAAATGCCGGTGAGAAAAATGACCGATGTCATTTGACCTCTCATACCTCGGCATTCGGTTAACCTTGACACAGGCATGGATAAGGAGTTCGGAGTTGTTGAAAATCCTGTTAATTTGTTGAAGAGTCCGAGCACATCTGATAATGCAAGTATTATCATAGCAGATGTGAATATGACAGTCAAAACTGATAATCCAAAGTCCTTAAGGAAGATCTGCTCAAAGTAGAAATATTTCCCCGAGGAGCCGAACAGTTGACTAGTTTGTCCAGAAAATAGATTAAACTTAACCCAATTTATGGGACTGAGGACGAAACACCCAAAAAAATAGAAGTCGTCTGCTACTGCGATGGCGACCCCCATTATGGCGCCCAGAACGTGAAACCAAAATGGTTTCTTCAGCACAAGAGTTAGCACCGTCGGAAATTTAAGATGGGTCAGGATCATCAGCGAAACCAACAGTGACGCATCAGGTCGTACGTACACGGTCAAAGCCAGAAAGAGGCCAGCTAAGACGGAAGTCAAGGCTCGTGAGAGTTTGTGGATCACGTGAGATTCGCTGTGGCACGGAGGAATATCATCCGTGTGGTCATCTTTAAGTCCATTTGTGTAATATGTTTCTGGAAGACGTTGCATCAGGTCATCATCTTTTAAATCTTTGGTGTTATTACCGTTAAGGTCTTCATTGCCTCTATTGCTGTCGTTATCGCTAATACTGTTCTCATCCATTCCAGTACAGTATCCGGGGTCACTCAGTTTACTTGTGTGACTCTCACTTCTGGCGTACTGGTTCGGTGCTATGTTCTCATCAAGGTTCCACTTGGCTTTGTTCACCACAGGATCTGATCGCGTCATGGTCACATCAACGTGCAGAGAAGACCTCTCTGGCTTCTCACAAATGGTTTCCTTTTCTCCCTGTAACAGCTGGGTCACGTGGGAAAGGGACAGGAACAGGAATGGCGACACTAAACTGTTGACCAGCGTGTGAGTGCCAAACACGGTTAGGTGGGACGAAATTGCGATCAAGATGGCCGCCACGCTACCGGCGTCACGTGACCTGGTGACGGACGTGACGTATGTGCAGATGGCAAATGGAAGCCATGACGTCACGGATACATGCGCTACTCTCCAAAGCTGAAAGAAATGTTCCATGTATATTATTTGTCATACAAATATTCGGGTACATTTATGAATTCGGTTAAAGATTTAACAATAAAAACAAAAACATGAAATAAAGCTTATACAGATGACGTCATGTGTTTTGGCCCAGACAATTCATTTAAAAAGAAAGAATTTAGAAATAAAATTAATCAATTATTGATAAGAACGAATCCTTCCCTTTATCTCTTTATCCACCAAAACAATCCATCCACCACACTATAACAATATATCCACAGTCTGTACCAATGACGTAATTGCTAGAAACTTATATATATATTTGCATCAACTAATTAGTTTTTTAAAATATAATTTGGTGCCCACATTATTTTATTAACAAATGATTGGTGTATACTCAAACACACATATACACACACATATAATATATGTATGTATATATTTAACGCACAACAAACTTAAGCAAGTTAAATCAAAGGCACAACCGCTCCCATATGGATTAAAAATTCCCGGGCAAGCAAGCAACTCTTCAACATCTATCAACTTCACGACGTGGAGTAATTTTTACAAACGAACTCACCAGAAAGGGATTGGGTTCGAATCCAAGGGCAGCCACCAAGGTCGAGGTCAGCATGAAGAACTGAGGCACGAGCGGAGATCGCATTGCCCACATGCCCAGTTCTTTCTCCTTCAGCTCCAACAGCGACATGTTGTCTCCCTTGGGAGGTCCGAGAAATTCGTACGGTCTGACACCATAGCCGTAGAGCTCTGTGTGGGCAACTGTGGAAGATGGAATAAAAAATGTGGATATGGATAGTGATATAGTTTTTGTGTGATTAACTGTGGACTAGGATAATGATAAAAATTACGTACGGCTATTCATAAAGAGGGAACGGTTGATATTGATATGAACACAATTATGAATCGACTGTTGTTGGTGTGAATAGCTATTCATTAAAATATGGGTGACATTTGATACGGTGGTGGTCCTCAACTTTCCTAATCCCGTAACCTTTTCATAAAGTTCCTCATGGTTTGCTGACCCCCCAACCATAAAATTATTTTCGTTGCTACTTTATAAATATGCGTTTTCAAATTAAATGTTCTTAGGCGACCCCTCTGTAAGGGTCGTTCGACCCCCAAAGGAGTCGTGACCCACAGGTTAAGAACCGCTGCTGTACGTGCTGTTCCTAACTTGGGGAGTCACGGCAAAGTGCATAATTTAATTACATTTTTCAACATTTTAAATTCATCTTCAAAGGTCTTGCCATTACTTAGTGGTGCAACGTTCCATCCATTTTGCAAGATTCACCTTTAAGAACCCCTGTGTTCTTTGCAGCTAGTAGACCATATGAACCACATCCTCCAGTCTAAAAGTCAATCATTAGTGAGTGCTCATGTGTTGAGCTGTGTGAAGGCCACACGTGTGCTGAGATTTGTGAATGCCACTCGTGTGTTGAGATGTGTGACGGCCACTCGTGTGTTGAGATGTGTGACGGCCACTCGTGTGTTGAGATGTGTGACGGCCACTCGTGTGTTGATATGTGTGACGGCCACACGTGTGCTGAGATGTGTGTTAAGAGCCCCGTTTACAGGAAATCTGCTATTGCCGTGCCTTCATGGGGAACAATACATAATCTTATGTCAGATCGCCCATAAACAAAGAAAGTGCGGCTGAATCAGTAGCTCTCTTCCCACACAAATCTATAACATAATCAGCAACAATCAATCATTGGCGATCTGTTCACCGAAGCCACTGTTTGCTAACCCCGTGAACCCATTGACTTCGACAGTGAAACTGGCCAAGGCGATCTGCCATAGACACAATGTTATAGACACTCTGTCAGCCGAGGACGGCCGCTTTTGAATAGACCAATAATCGTTGATCACTAAGACGTTCGACGACCTGGGGCCGCTTATTCAGCCATAAAATCGCGTTATGGTTCTAGGAGGATTGAAAACACAACGTTGACATTTTTTGGGATACGACTTGAAATTTATTATGCGGTTCGTCTACTGCGCGCAGCCAGGCGTGTCGTGGGCAGCGGTGCGTGCCTGCGTGTGCTTGAAACGAGACACCATTAGAAAGTCGATAGCACTGTACACCTTAAGACATCAGACATCACTAGACACCATTAGCAACTATTATTACATCTTGAGACACCATTAAACAAAATTAGGGTAGCATTATACACTTTGAGACATCAGCCATCACTAGACTTCTTAACAAATTGTTAGACATCATGAGATACCGTGAGACAAAATTCGGTAGCATTCTACTCCTGTAGCCCTCAGACATCACTAGACACCACAGGCAACTACTAGACACCATGAGACATCAAGACACACCTTTAGACATCATTAGGCATGGCATCGTTTGGCACCATTATACTTCAATCGAAATCATTGGACAGCGTTAGAAGTGATGTCTATTAAGATTCAAGCTTTTCAATAGTTTGCCATCACAGCAGACTTATTCTAAAACATAAAGTTTAATAAATCTTACCAGCCCCAGCCACCCCCTCCCCCCCCCCCCCCCATAGAAGTGATGTCTATTAAGATTCAAGCTTTTCAATAGTTTGCCATCACAGCAGACTTATTCTAAAACATAAAGTTTAATAAATCTTACCAGCCCCAGCGCCCCCCCCCCCCCCCCCCCAAAAACACACCACAAAAAATCGGTTGATCCAATACACAGTTGAAGAGACGAATACAAAATTCAATTATTATTTTTAAGCAGCCTCAAGATCATTGTGCAAATTTCACAATGAAATAATTGCTGTCGTCAAAAAATTTTAAAAAGTAAAAAAAAAAAACCCTATCATATTTATTCAAAACAGATTGGCGGCAAATTAAAAGAACTACAAAATATAGACTATGATCTAGCTATATTTATATTTTTAAAATCCCAGGTTCTTCCCCCATGACATAACAAAGTCAACCAAGCCGGTCAAAATGACGCGGCGAACCGTGACTTGAAGGGGCAACGTGATGTTGCTGACATTTCTTTCTTCTCTCTTGAAATAGATTTGCTGTGTCGGGTTAAATATATTTGTATTTGATATTATTACTTACGGGAAAAGTGGGTTGGAGAGTCAACGTGAAAGGATAGTGACAGGGTTAGGGGTGGGTTTGGTAACGACAGGTTTAAGAGTGGGTTTATTAATGAACGGGTTAGGGGTGGGATTATTATTGGCAGGGTTAGGGTTGGGATTATTAGTGACAGGGTTAGGGATGGGTTTATTAGTGACAGGGTTAGGGATGGGATTATTAGTGACAGGGTTAGGGATGGGATTATTAGTGACAGGGTTAGGGATGGGATTATTAGTGACATGGTTAGGGATGGGATTATGAGTGACAGGGTTAGGGATGGGATTATTAGTGACAGGGTTAGGGATGGGATTATTAGTGTCAGGGTTAGCAATGGGATTATTAGTGTCCGCGTTAGGGATGGGTTTATTAGTGACAGGGTTAGGGGTGGGATTATTAGTGTCAGGGTTAGCAATGGGATTATTAGTGTCAGGGTTATGGATGGGGTTATTAGTGACAGCGTTAGGGATGGGATTATTAGTGACAGGGTTAGGGATGGGATTATTAGTGTCAGGGTTAGGGATGGGATTATTTATGACAAGGCTATGAATGGGATTATTAGTGACAGGATTAGGGATTGGATTATTATTGACAGGGTTAGGGATGGGATTATTAGTGACAGGATTAGGGATGGGATTATTAGTGACAGGGTTAGGGATTGGATTATTAGTGTCAGGGTTAGGGATGGGATTATTAGTGTCAGGGTTAGGGATGGGATTATTAGTGAAAGGGTTAGGGATGGGATTATTACTGACAGGGTTAGGGATGGGATTATTAGTGACAGGGTTAGGGATGGGATTATTAGTGACAGGTTTAGGGATGGGATTATTATTGACAGGATTAGGGGTGGGTTTATTAGCGACAAGGTTATGGATGGGATTAGTAGTGACAGGGCTAGAGGTGAGTTTGGTAATGACAGGTTTAGAGGTAGTTTTGGTAGTGACATGATTAGGGATGGGTTCAGTAGTGACAGGGTTATGGATGGATGAAGTGTAGTGACAAGGCTGGGTGTAGATTTCGTAGTGCTGGGTTAAGAATAGATTTGGTAGTGACAGGATTAAGAGTAGATTTGGTAGGGACAGGATTAAGAAATTAAATTAGATAGGACATTCATAGGTGAATAAAAAAATGTATTTCTTTTTTTTTTTTTTTTTTTTTTTTTATTTTGTTTTTTTTCATTTTTTTTTTTTTTTTTTTTTTTTTTTTTTTTAATTTGTATTGCTTCAATTTCTTTTTAACTTTACAATTAGTAAAAGCTTAATTTACCGACAATGTCCAACGTTTTCTTGATTCTGACGTTGGAGCAGTCCATACTTGCCGTAACAGTACCTGATTTTGATCACCCCACCTCCCCTCATTGTCACAACTTTGTCATAAAATTCAGACACCCTAAAAAAATCGTAGCAAATTCTTCCCCCCTCACACCCCCCACCCTTTACCCTTTTTTTTAGCAACGTGGATTGACCCTATGCCGTATCTCTGACAATTCACTAACCTTCCATAGTTTGAAAGATCTCGTCTGGATGTAAGACCCACCAACTCCAAGGACTGATGACGTAGTACACACGAAACGACCACGTCACGAGCACAACAAAAGCAGAGGTCCATCTCGGGAGCAGATCTTCGTCCGTCGACGCCACGCCTCTGCCTCTGTCGGCTGCCCTCTCTGCCCTGCTCCGTCCTGGATCTGCTCCAGTATTTGGCCTGCATGTCTGAGGACGCTTGTTGCTTGCAACTTTCTTTCGTCGGCCCATTTGTATTGAATCAAGGACCTTCTCGATATTGAAAAGCTGTGAGAAGTCAGAGTTCACACTTTTTCAAATCTGAAAAAACACCAGCATGAAAGGAATTTTTCTATTATTTACATACGCGTGAAAAGAGGTCGTAGTTGTCAAAGTGGCGTACACAGTGTTGATTGAATACCTCCTCCATCCGTAGCCCTTCCCCCCCCTCCTCGCCCCACCCCCCTCCCCCCCCCCCCCCCCCCCCCCCCACTCCCCCCCCCCCCAAACCAAAGGCAGTGGGGCGTTACGGTAATCCGGGATATTGTATTATAACGTAGTTTTTTTTATAACTAATACATATGACAGACTGATTTCCTGGTTATTACAACAGTTGTTTTTGACCAAATTTGGTGCCCACTCAATTAATGTGGCTAGATACCCTTATGTAGTTTAGAACTAAGACTAATATAGTAGTCTTGTGCTACACAAGGTAATATTTCAGTCTGGACAGGCCAAGGTAAAACTACCAGTCGCTACAGCCGAAACTGGTGTATCACTCAGTAATATGTAGCTCCCCACCCCCAAGGTATTATATCCTTCTCTTCAGCCCAAGGTATCATATCACTCTTTACAGCCGAAGGTAATATATGGCTCCATACTCCCAAGGTATTAATATCATTCTGTTAAGCCCAATGTATTATACCCCTCTTTACAGTCAAGGTAATATACCCCTCTTTACAGCCCAAGGTATTATATCACTCTTTAGTCTTTACAGCCCAGGTTTAATATATCACCCCGTATCCTTAAGGTATTATATCACTTTGTACAGACTGGGGTAATTTTGTCCAACCAAAGGTAATAATAATATATCCCTCTGAACAGCGCAAGGTAATATACCACTCTATACAGCACAAAGTAATGTATCAATATGAGCAGGCCTATTTAATATATCCCTTGTACAGACGCAGGTAATATACCATTGTGAACATCGCAATTTAATTTACTCTAAAGAGCCCAAGTAAATGAACTTCTCTGTACATGTTAATTTAATGTACAATTTTTTGCATCCCAGGATATTTAGTCCTTGTGTAAAGACATAGCTCGAGTTAGATGTTTACACCGACCAGCCAATGCCATAAGCTGTGTCTATACCATGAACAGCTTGTGTAATAATTTACTCTGAACAGTATTATAAATAAAATACTATTTTACCAGGGGTGGGTAATATTTGTGCCGTCCCAAACCCCTCTCCTTTCCTAAAATCGAAAAAACGAAAAAAAAAAAAAAAAAAGAAAACATTAAATCGAAAATGAAGCCGCTCTGATTATAATGAAAAAAAAATCCTTTTGGCCCCGATCGCCAGCACCCACTCTTCATACCCTAGACCCCTACCTCCCACTCTTCCTACCCTAGACCCCTACCTCCCACCTTTCCTACCCTAGGCCCCTACATCCCACCTTTCCTACCCTAGGCCCCTACATCCCACTCTTCCTACCCTTGACCCTACCTCCACTCTTCCTACCCTAGACCCCTACATCCCACTCTTCCTACCCTTGACCCTACCTCCACTCTTCCTACCCTAGATTCCCACCTCCCACTCTTCCTACCCTAGACCCTTATCTCCGACCCTTCTTACCCTAGTCCCCTACTTCCCACTCTTCCTACCCTAGATCCGTACCTCCCACTTATCTTACCCTTGACCCTTACATCCCACTCATCCTACCCTAGACCCCTACCTCCCACTCTTCCTACCCTCGACCCTTACCTCCCACTGCTCCTACCCTAGATCCCTACCTCCCACTCATCTTACCCTAGACCCTTACCTCCCACTCTTCCTACCCTAGACCCCTACCTCCCACTCTTCCTACCCTAGACCCCTATCTCCGACTCTTCCTACCCTAGACCCCCCATCCTTCCTACCTAAGACCGCTACCTCCAACCTTTCCTACCCTAGACCCTTACCTCCCACTCTTCCTACCCTAGTGTTTCTAGTCTGTATTAAACTTTGTCTGTTTTCTCCTGTTAGTCCAGCAAGGCTCTTGATTGAAACGTTCCCATCTTATCGTCCTGCCTTTCGATTCAAGCTTCTACATACCGTGCTCTACTATTTAATTCACACAGCTCAAACGCAGTCCTTCATTTATTGTCCTTAGAATTGAAGCAGCCCAACTAAAGCTCTTGGGGGAACTATTTCCTTGGTGTGAACAGTTACACAGTTTAAGATCTCACAATACGAAACACGATATGATGATCTGTTTGAATGTCCAGTGCTCCATTAGACGGATGTGTCTCCAAGTTCTCTGCGACATGGTCAAAATCCCAAATGCGTTTGCTAAATATAACGTCATAACCCAGTATACGATTCAACCTTAGCTTGAAATAGCCACTCTGAAGTCCTCAAAAGCAGCAATGAGTTTTTTATACCCCCCCCCCCTTTCCCCTTCCCTTTCATACGCCACCCCCGGAGATTTTAATATTTTTTTATATGCAATTTTTTTTTTATCTCGGTGATCAATTATCGACAAACCCACTCGTGTCACTGGCTTTAAACCCACCCCCACCTCATTGTCCCCCCTCTCACTTCGCGTCTTAAAGCTTTATCAGTTGTTTCCCCATGATCACTTTGTTCTGATCGCTTCTACGGGAAGCGACGCTCCACTCCCCTACCCCCTCCCAACCCCACACCCCCGCACCATTTGACTCCGGTCACACAATAGAGATCGAGGTGGAAAAAAAAACACACAAAAAAACCCTTAGATTCGTTCAAGTGATTATCCAAGTTAAACGCCACCGGCTACGGAATATGTGGCCCAAAACAGTAACAACAAAATAACATTGGCAGAAATGTTTAACTGTAATTTCTACCGTTTGGTCTTCATATTTTTGCCTTGTCTCATTTCAAGCTTTGACACACTCCATTCTTTAGAATTCACTCTTATGTATATACAAAGGCAATGTTTTAGTTCAGGGTCTTTGAACAATAATTGTAAAAGTCCAAGACTTAAACAAAAAATAAAAATACAAGAAGTAGAAGAAATAAATAGCCATTGATGGACGTAGAGCACCTGTTTGTTTGTTTTGTTTTTTTCATCCAGGTACCGAAGAAGGCTTCCTGCCAACACGTTCTTTCATTAGTTGCGTCCTTTTTTTTTTTTCAGGTTTTCCCAAACTTTTTTTTCCTCGGTTAACTTTTCAACCATAATTATTTGTTTACACCAATTTTGCTGTTGTAGTTTTTACTAAATAGTCTATTAAATAAATGCTTTAATAATTAATTTTAATTGTATACACGTAAATTCAGCTCTAACACGTGAACGAAGGCTAACCATTTTTAGGCAAACCAGTAAAATTGTCCCCGATGAAAAGAAAAATAGGCTTGAAAACATTTTGTTAAAAAAAAGTCGTGTAGTTGTGACATCACTGGTTTTACTTACACGCATCATTGACGGAACTGGTAGAACTCAGGATAAACAGTCGCCATCAGCTATCCATTTCGGAGGTTCTCAAAGTGTCAGGAGAGGTCCCAATCATTTAAACCGTGGGTTGTCACCTTTTTTTTTTTGGCATCCGTGGACCTATAACAATTGGAGTATATATTTAATTAGAAATAGAAACCATCATTTATTAAAGAATTGTGACTATTGTTTTTTTTTAAATCTTATATATTTAAATCCTTTGAATTAACTGCGCTTTTGTTCGTGTGTCCATTCTGGCTGGGTGGCGAAATCTTCGGACGACTAATTGACCCACCTTCTGTCAAATTTTCAGCCGACACCTCCCAAACCCCGAAAAAGTTAAAGCGAGTGGGTCATTAGAATATTGATATAGTTCAGGGGCGTGGAAAAATGTGTGGTTGCGTACCTTGAGGGGATGAGTGGGGAGGGGTGAGAGAAATAATTGGGATTCTTATAAAGTGCGTTTAAAGGCATGTTTTCCACCAACCAATAGCTCAATCTTACATTTTATAAAGTGCGTTTAATGGCATTTTTCCACCAACCAATAGCTCAATCTTACATTTTATAAAGTGCGTTTAATGGCATTTTTCCACAAACCAATAGCTCAATCTTACATTTTATAAAGTGGGTTACTTAAAGGCATGTTCTCCATCAACCAATAGCTCAATCTTACATTTTATAAAGTGCGTTACTTAAAGGCATGTTCTCCACCAACCAATAGCTCAATCTTACATTTTATAAAGCGTGTTACTTAAAGGCATGTTCTCCATCAACCAATAGCTCAATCTTACATTTTATAAAGTGGGTCACTTAAAGGCATGTTCTCCATCAACCAATAGCTCAATCTTGCATTTTATAAAGTGGGTTACTTAAAGGCATGTTCTCCATCAACCAATAGCTCAATCTTACATTTTATAAAGTGGGTTACTTAAAGGCATGTTCTCCATCAACCAATAGCTCAATCTTACATTTTATAAAGTGCGTTACTTAAAGGCATGTTTCCCACCAACCAATAGCTCAATCTTACATTTTATAAAGTGCGTTACTTAAAGGCATGTTTCCCACCAACCAATAGCTCAATCTTACATTTTATAAAGTGCGTTACTTAAAGGCATGTTTCCCACCAACCAATAGCTCAATCTTACATTTTATAAAGTGCGTTACTTAAAGGCATGTTTCCCACCAACCAATAGCTCAATCTTACATTTTATAAAGTGCGTTACTTAAAGGCATGTTTCCCACCAACCAATAGCTCAATCTTACATTTTATAAAGTGCGTTACTTAAAGGCATGTTTCCCACCAACCAATAGCTCAATCTTACATTTTATAAAGTGCGTTACTTAAAGGCATGTTTCCCACCAACCAATAGCTCAATCTTACATTTTATAAAGGATTTATACGAAAAGCTTTGTTTTTAGAGTTTGTTTAATTTAATGTGCGCGCTAGATCAGCCACGCTCACACCTTGTTCTCGCTTTTCAATGATTTTACGTTTCATTTCAACAGTTATTTTTTCTCTCTTATGATTGTCTTCTTGTGTTTTTTTCTTCGAAGACATTTTAGCAGAGGTTATTACACTTTGCACATAAAAAATTACGAATAGTTTCTGAATACAAAATTTGTAAAAACTGGTGATCACACACGAAAACAATAAAAGGCCTGAAGTCCCGGCTCACAAATGAAGGTCATGAAAAAGGGACTTCCCCTTTCTGCGTCACTCATTATGCAAAATATCGCTCGTTAAGGGAGCAACTTCTTCACATTTTTTTTTGTTTGCTCGTTATAAGAATTACTCGTTAAGAGAGGTGCTCGTTATGAGAGGTTCCACTGTACTTATTTCAATGAACCAGTCACATAGACGTTAAAAAATTCGTTCTATTTTGAAAAGGTAGCGTTCAATTAATTACGATACAAAATTCATTGAACTAAATTATTGCGGCGTGCCATCTATGGGGTGGTGATTACGTTTTCGCAGACTTGCAAACAAATTCAACGGCCTGACTCCGGCCCGTGAGACCACGGACCGGGGGTTGAACACCATCGTATTAGCAATATCAAATATAGGCCTATAAAGAGATATGACCATTTAAATTGAGTTTTAGTGTCAGCTTCCACTGAAGTTGTTGCTCAAAGAGGTTTGCTGCTTACAAAAAAAAATTGCTGTTACAACTTCATTATAACTTCATCTTCGGATAAATAATGTCACCTCATAAGATAAGGTGGCACCCTGAATTATATAAAATGTATGAAATAGTATTGTTATCCCTCTATAATTGGATGCTACCAAAAGTTTTTTGATTAAATGAAATAATCCTATAAAACAAGAGTTGTTTGATTAAACAAAATAATCCTATAAACCAAAAGTTGTTTGATTAAATGAAATAATCCTATAAAACAAGAGTTGTTTGTTTAAACAAAATAATCCTATAGAACTAAACGTTGCTTGATTTAATTAAATTCGTTTCTGATTAAGTGAGATATTTGCTGAAGTAATCGGATATAATCTAGCGTGTATTCAATTAGAATAAAATATCAGAACTGTAGACTGTATTGTCTGATCATATATAAGAATCGGACAGAATCAACATTAATATGTTGGTTACTATAATCGGATATAATTTTTTTTTAAAGGTACGATTATTTACAAGAATGGTAAATAACCGAAACATTGTAATGATTATTTATTATAATCGGTTAGATTTTTTTTTAATGCATGATTACTTACAATAATCAGATAAATCAACTGTGTTGAGTGTCCACAACAGATAAGGCGGGCGTACTCTTTAAAATGATATTATTATGAATATTCCAGTTTCAAACACACCAACACACCTAAAAGACGTCGACCACTCTGTGGTCGGTCGGTGAGCTCAGCCCACCAGAAACGCATAAACATCTGGACTTACCCCAAACGTGACAACAAACGCGGACGTACCGTGAACAGTGAGATGGTATCAACATTTACCCCAAATGTCTCCAGCGCTCGAGCTGGCGGGACGTAAGCCCATATCATATCTCCCCCCCCCCTCCCCCCGCCTCCTGCGTTGGTTGTCGCCCCACCCCCCCCCCACCCCCACACCGCCTTTGCCACGGGTAATCCAACCACCACTGGAGCGTTATGCCCCTTTGCCCAATTTTTGTATGGTATGGTTCGGGGGGGAGACACTTGAAGTTATTTGAATTGGATCCAACCGTTGTTCTGTTTGTTTCTGTTCGGCTTGGCTTTTTGAAATACTGGTGTCAGAACTACATCCTGAAAGGGTTTATGAAACATTCAGCAATTCGTTGTAATGTTTACATAGTAAGGTGTTTTTTTTTCTCCATGTATGTCCTAAATTGAGGTTGCATAAAATCTTACACATATAAATGTAGAAGTGTCCCATAGTGTCCCATTGTGTCCCATGGCTCAAACGGTCTAGGAAACTGTTAGTGTGTTGGTTTTTATGATGGATGGGGGTGGGGGGGGGGGCGCTAAGATTGGGTTTATATCACAAAGGGAACGGGGGCCGAAAAGTTTTTAAGAACCACTGCTTTTAACTAATGTCCACTGACGCCACTGACGACATTGACAAATGCTCGTGATGTCCACGTGAGACAAAGAAATCAACAATTTGTCGTTCCTGTTTGTGTATAGTGAATATTTCAGACACTATGTGGGTCAAAATGTTAAGTTAAATCTGTACTGGTTCAAAATATCAAGGGCGTCCTTTATTGAAAAAAAAAAGGTGGGTTTGGGGATTTCGTCCCAGAATGTGAGTGAGGGCTGTGGCGCCCCCCCCCTTTTATGACTTTGTGTTTCTTCTGTACGACTTTTACAAATAAGCTTAATTTTTTAAGCAATAACAATCATGTTTCTAGTTTTTCTTTTCCTGAAGCAACACACTAACAAATACTGAGTTATTTAGTGTTAAACATATTTGCTTAAAACGCCTGGGTATAATATGGCATGGCGTGCTCACTCATTTGATGTGTGTAGACAATTCTTCTAGAGGAGGTAAGCTAAATGTCGTCGAGATATGAAATGATTGTGGTCGGAGTGAAGTGGGGGAGAATTTAAATATCTGATTTCGCCGACTTTACATGTACATTATTTTAAGCGCCAATACTCTGATCAATCGTTTTGGGCGAGTTAATAACGATTAGCGACCATCCATATAGTACGTACGCAAAAAAAAAAAAAAAAAAA